CTCGTAATAAAGTCTGTTATATGGGTTTTTGTATGGTTTACTTGTTGGTACCATGCATTAGTTGAGCTCCATTCATGGTGGGGTTTGCTGTAGACATGTTTTTTAATGTCAGTTAAGTTGAAGTTTTCTGTAGTTAGTACTGGTGTTTGATGTGCTTGTTTAGCGGTATAGTCGGCGAATTCATTTCCGGTTATGTTGGCGTCTCCCGGGACCCAAATTAGTATTATTTTAGAGTATTTTACTATTGATATTTCTAATAGTGGATGAGTAATGGTCGTCGTTGTTTATGTTTCCTATAGCGTTTATAGCCGAAAGGGAATCAGAGCATATTGCAAAATTTTTGTTTTTGCTCTTTATTATGTTTATTGCTTCGAATATGGCTATAATTTCTGTGGAGTATATTGAGCTATAGCAGGGAAGGTTTGAAATTTTTAGAACTTCATTTTGTAAGGTTGTACTGTATGTTACATTGTTGTCGACTTTAGATCCATCTGTGTAGATAAAGGCGTAGATTTGGTATTTCTCTTTAATTTCGTAAAACTTTGATTGATATTGAATTGGGTTCGTGTTGTTTTTGTTTAAGTTATTCAATGTAGCACTCTAGTTCTGCAGCCCCAAACAATAGTTTCTTATTCTTTTTTGTTAACTCGAACAAAGGTTTCGCTTAAACTGAAAAATCTTTTACAAACCTCCTAAAATATGAACACAACCCTATAAAGCTTTGGACTTCGTGTACATTTTTCGGTATCAGAAAATGGCTTCTAATCCTTTGCCATACGCTTTTACTCCTTCCCCTGTAACAGTGTATCCTAAATACGTTATATTTTTCCGTAAAAACTCACACTTATCTAATCTGTTTGGAATCCAAGGTATCAAATTTACTCAGACAAGATAGAATCAATTCAAAAACAATTCCTACTTTTTGCTTTAAGAAATTTCCGATGGGATTCTCAATATAGTCTTCCACCTTATACGAGTCGCTTAAAACTTATTAACCTTCCTACACTTGCCAGTCGCAGGGAAATGCTTGGTATAATTTTTATGGTTAAATTACGGACAGGCTCAATTTCAAGTCCGTTACTTCTGGCTGATGTAAGCTTTAATGTTCCCTCACGCGTATCAAGACACTTTTGTCCCATATTTCTGAAAGCTTGTAAAACCAATTTTGAATTGCACGACCCCCTCCGTTGCTTATGCCAGGATTTTAACTCTCATTCCAGCACGTCTGATATATCAGATCCGCTTTTCAGCATTAAGAAAGCGATACTCTCCTCTCTCAATAAGTGAATTATTGACATAAATACATAAAATCAGCTGATGAATTTAGTTCTGTAGCTGAACAGTTTTAGATCTCGACACTTAACAAACTCCTGCCTATCGTGACTCGGCACAAAAATTTAAAATATTGGTTCCGTACGTCATGCGGACTGCGCCCCTCGTGCGGATGGGCGGGAATGGAGGGTAAAAACCGTTGGGATATTATTATTACTATAATTCAAGCTTATTTTGAACGATAAAAACTTCTCTTAAAATTTCAAAATGCTCTTCCATATCTTCAGTCGCTATCATTATATCGTCTAGATATGCTATCACCTTTTCCGCTATTTTCATTTCTGAAAATATTTTATGTACATATAAATAAACCTTCGAAAAGTGAACGGCGAATTTTTAAAACCAAAAGGCAATCTGGAAAATTCATATTGCCCAAGTGGTGTGATAAAATAAGTATATTTTTCTGAATCTTTGTGCATGTATAAACACGGTTAAAAATTTCGGTTTTAATTTTAAACTTTTTGGACTACATATATGACCAAACTAAATTCAGTTTCAAATACAAACCTTCCAAGTTTATAAAAAAGAGAGCACATATGTTGGGTTTAGAATTTAAACAATTCGGTTTAAATGTTAAACCCAAACATTTTTATAATTAAGAATAAAAAAAAAAAAATAATCTTAAATTTCATGCTCCGTCTGGTTGGGATTGAACTCGGACAGCCTTGGTAGCAACCAATTGTATCAAGCATCTTTGCACACTCAGCTACAGCCACGCATGTAGATGTGCTTTCATATGTTGAGTTTGAATCAACACCACAATTCGCTGTGCAAACATATTCTATTTCGGTTTAGATTTTAAACCAAAGATTCTATATTTGAAACCTAGAAACTAGAATTAAAACATTTTGGTTTGATTTTTAAACCACGAACTTTTTGGGCTAAAATTTAAACCAGAATATATTAAAAATTGCGTAAAACTATTGACTGGATTAAAAAGTAGACTATAAAAATTTAAAAAAGGCAGTAGTCCCAGCGCGGTTTAAAAATTAAACCCAAATTTTTGACCGTGCATGAAAAACCCAATTCTTTAAATCAAGCTTAGTAAATATTTTATTTTTGCCAACCTATCTAGTAAATCATCAGTAAGGGGTTTCGGGTATCCTTTGCAATTGTTTTGTTTAACATTCTATATTCAACACACATTCTAAGGTCTCCTGTCTTTTTATGTACCAACACAAATGGTGACACAAATTCCGACTCACTTGCTTTAATGTATCTTTCTGTTATGTATTATCTAATAATTTCTGTAATTCCTCTTTTTCCGAGTAAGATAACCTACGGGGTGGACCATGAAAAGGTTTCGCGTTTTTATAATACTAGCTTCATCTCGCACTTAACCAATGGTTTATCGGTTTAGTAAATAATTCATTCATTTCGTGATCGTTACTACAAAAATCTTCTCCGACATTGAAATTAGATATCACACTCGATAGCCAATAACCATTTGAGATTTTTATCTGCATCTGCACCAGGGTTGTTGCGAATATTCGCATTAGCATTCGCAACCGCGGAGCGTCCGCAATAATTTTAACATTCGCATTCGCAACCGCGGAGCTCCCACATTAATTTTAACATTCGCATTCACTTTCGCAATAATCAATGCGGAGCTTTTGCGAATGCGAATATTTTGCAAGTGGACCGATAAAACGTATATATGGCAAAAAAAAATTACATATTGTAGCCAATATTTTTGCCTTATCAACTTTAATAAAAATGTCTTTAAAATATTATTTCTTAAGCTATATAATCGAGTTATCAATGGGCAGCCATAAAAGTTCCGTTTTGGGGAATTTATTTTTAGCAAAAATTTTAAAAACCGTACTTGTTGGATAATATTTTTTCATAGGGATATATGTACATTGGCGTGGGCCGAAAATCCGTTTTTTTGGAATTTTGATTGGTAATAGCAAAAATATGGTTAATTGTGCTTTAAAAAAAATCTCTGTGAAATTTGGAATTTTTGGTCAATATCCTAGGCTCGCCCAAATCCATCGAAGTTCAATATGGTTAAAAAAATTAAAATTAATAAATAAATTAGGTAATAAGTTTTTGACTAAAATTGCAATAATCTTCGAAAGTATTAGTCCTACATAATGGACCTTTTTTTGTAGAGAATCGAAGTTAGCTAAGAAAAAAATTTCTATAGTACTTGAACTTTGATGGACTTGTGCGAGCCTAGGATATTGACCAAAAATTTTCACATTTCACACAGATTTTTTTTAGAGCATAATGAACCATATTTTTCCTATTACCAATCAAAATTCTAAAAAAGCGGAGTTTCGGCCCACGCCAATGTATGTACATTGGATCCTTGGCTAAAAACTTCTATGGTAAAACTGTCCCTTCTTTGCTATTTAAAGTCAATGAGCAAGCTCCTTCAATGGGATTTCTAGTAGAAATGATCAACGTCTAGCTATAAAGAGAATCGATGCTCAAATAATTAAAAACCTATAGGTCTGACCTTTAATTAGATAAGAATTACGTAACTACCTGTTATTCAAATGCTTATAAAAAAACGGGGTCCTTAAAAAAAAATAACAATATTCTGATCCGATTCGGCTGGCAGCCACGACTTTGAAAACAGAATTTTGTTCAAAATTAATTGTTTAGGCGTGTCTGCTAACACCAGGCGCCTAAATACATGCTATGTACTGCTGCATGTGCAAAAATTCCTTTATGCAATTTATGAAATTTTTGCACATGCACTTCTCAACTGTCTTGTAATTGAACTTTCTTAAGTTTTAATTAGATGGCACTTCAAAGTATGCTCGGCCTAGTCTGATGCATCCTTCGGACACTGCTTCCGGAGAATTTTGCGGACTCTGCATGGCTTACAACCATGCAGAGGTGGCAAACGAACTTTGGCATTGGCCACAGTGCCTACCCACCATTTCTGAACCAATAAATATTTTTTTTATATAAATACATACATGTAAACAAACTGGTCTCCCCTCCCACTGAGTTATTCAATAATAATCTATTCTCCATATCCACCTATTTAGCTCGCTATAAGCACAAATTTTTCAAGGCAGTCACAGAAGAAAGTATTAAAACTGAATTACAAAAACTAAAATCGAAAAGTGCTGATAAAGTTACAGGTTCTCCAAATTCTGAAACAACAAGACATATTTATTTGGTTTGGCTTGTAAGCGCTGTTTAAACAACGATCTCACCATTATGCTAGATTCTAATTGTTTTTTTAAAATACTTGACATGCGCATTCGCATCCGCGGATGTTAGCTGTTAGATATTCGCATCCGCATTCGCATCCGCGGATGTCTAAAATTCCACATCCGCAACATCCCTAATCTACACTATCGATCTCACCGTATTAGTACACTTCAACTCATAATTACACTTATTTTCTGTATCCTCTATCTTGATACACACATTTTCGCTTAAATCTTTTTTATATTCCTCACTACTATCGCTGATGTACCACTTCGCAACTCTTCATTAATATTCTGAATTTTTTTACACAACAATATGATTTACACTCATTTTTGGCTCTCGAAATTTTAATGTTATCTTTAGAAATCAAAATCATCTGATTCGCTTGAAGGAAATATCTACCTAGAACTACATCATATCCGATAGACTCATTGGCAACCACGAACAATTTAATATCAATCTTTTTTGTCTCAAAATGAACATAACACCAAATCTTACCAAACATTTGTAGCTTGCTTTTATTCAATCCAAAGTAAGATACAGAAAAAAATTCATCAAATTTAATTTTATTCGGCAAAGAAGGTCTTTTGATAAAACTGATCAGGCCCCTGAGTCTAATAGGCGTTCTACAAATAAATCAACATTAATATAAGATCTTACAGAAAATCTCAAATATCTTACATAAGGATCTTCGTCGTCGACAACATGTACGACTTTCTTCCTGTCAAGGCAAGCTGCCACCCGATGCTCCTTGGTTCCGCGACTGTAGCACGCACCCATCTCACGCTTAGGTTTCTTACACACACCAGCCATGTGGCCCAGTGAGTTGCAATTATAGCAGCGTACTTCTTTCTGCGATTTTATTTAGCGCAAGGTACGTCCCTCCAGCTCCATACGTCCAAAAGCTTGCAATAGTTGGGTTTTGGTGTTGTAACAATAGATATATGCCTGTACACGTAACTGCTCGTCGGGGATGCCCTCGATGATGTGGTCGATTAGTTCAGCTTTTTCTATTTTTAACCCCTATTTAATGCAATTTTATCGTTGTTATATTTTAAAAATCTTCTCCAACTTGCCACTTACGCGCCTTAAATTTGTTTCGCAAAATCATTTTGTTTTGATGCGGCGCGAATACACTTCTCATTTCTCGATAAGCGAATTTATGCTTTCAACCCAAAACGTCGGTTTTGAGTGCAACCACGCTTGGGCTTTGCCTTTGATACGGTTTGCCTTTAATGCCCGCATTGCATTTTCGCTTAAATTGTATACATCACCTTTGCTTTTTAGCTGTTGGACCCAAACGTCGAAGTTTGCATTTCCATCGTACTCCGGTAACATATCCTTCACTACATATAATGGTATTACCCCTACGCCACATTCGCTTTCAACACTAACGCAATTTATTGCAATGTCAACGCTGTTGCTTGCTGGGTTAATTAACTGCGTTGGCGAAGTTCGCTACGCTGCCACTGTCTGCTACAAAACTACCGCCACTCGCTATATTGCCGTCCATTGCATTGCTCTGCCATCGCTTTGGTCACTGCATCGCAAGGGACAGTAGCTTCGTTGCTGATTTATGTATTAACTTGAGTCAGTTTTGTTGTCAACCACTCGTTTTCCTTCACAAGCAAATCATTCTCTTTCTTCAGCGCTTCTGTAACCATAATTGCTTCACTCGTGTCGAACTGTTGTTCACGTACAAGCGGTCCTTGTAAATTGTCTGTTACTGGACCATCAACGCCAACCTCATCTTCGATGATTTCACTTACGCTTGGGCACTCCATACGCTCATTTACGGGTATTCCACTTATTCTGACCGTCATTGCTGCTTTAGTGCCATAAGTAAACCTTATACTTAATATCCTCTCAGTGGCTTCGTTTCAGCGTGGTATTGAAAAAACAAAATTACATATTTTTCGAAACTGGGAAACGTACCACTATTTAAAGACTTGGTCCATATTTCCTCATGGCTTAAACTACTTTTTTCAACTGCGCAAAAACTTTGAAACGCTAATAATTCGCTAAAAAGAGTATCTAATGGCGATTCCGTTTCTACAAAAAATGTTGCCTTCTCATCACCCTCTTCTTAATATTTGTGCGTAGAGGGCAAAGAGAAGATTGCATTTTTCGGTAGAAAGGAAATCGAAATAACACATCGAGATTTCTTGTATGCAAAACTCTTTTAAACTGAGGGAAATAATGCATACTAAAAATGAATATTTTACATTTGATTATCGTTTAAAATTGTTCGTATTTAAAAATATTTTCGTACCCGAATTTAGCACGTACTTATTTGAATTACCACATGTGAATATGTATATGTAAGTGTACATACCCTGCAGCATGGGCGTAGCGAGGTAGGGGCGGGGGGCCCGAACCGCCCTCTAAATTCCAAATTTTTCCCTATATATTCAAAAATATCATCAGGAAATGCTAGCTCGAGTCTGAGTCGTCGGGCAGCCCTCCCATCCGAGATCAAAGGTGCTGTCTCAGATGAAGCCAGTGTAAGGTCAGCAGTTATAAAAGTTTATCCTAAGTGAAGTTTATTGTAAGTGAAAACTTACATATCTGTAACAGGCGGAATTCCCCTACGTTTATAACTGCTGCCAGGGAGGAGGTTCTTGACCTTACGCCGGCTTCATCTGAGACAGCACCTTTGATCTCGGATGGGAGGGTTCTGAGCGAACACTCATTTTCTGATCATAAGTATATTCAATTCTCAATGTTATTGTGGCTTATTAACATTTTTTTTTTAATATTTTTATTGAGCTTTGTTCCACGATTGATTATTAGGAAAAATTGAAAAAGCAACAAAGTCTAAGCGGTGCAATGGCAAACCCCCGAGTGTATTCAACCACGAACAACAGCTTCTCGTAAAAATAAAATCCCCGTTCGGATTCGGCGTAAAACTGTTGGTCCTTCCGCTTTGTGCGCCAACATCAAGGCGCACGCCACAAATCAGAAAAGAAGCTCGGACAAACACTAACGAGGTCTTAATGTTTGTTTCTAAAAATCCTGATGTTCAAATTTACACGGGAACTGCGGGATTTTAAATGAATCAATAAACAAGACATACATATATGTTGGTACAGGAATATATTTTTAAGATAACAATTGTATACACCGTCAGACTCGCAGTCATCTGAGGTATCCAAGCTCATATCTATATTTTCTGATCGCAATTCCGCATCCGCATTAACAACAGTTGATAATAAAATAATGGCATCTGACGACAGTTTATGATTTTGTTTTGGTGGGTTTAAACAGGGTCCGAGGATGCAAGCAGCCGATTTTTTTAATATCCTTATTCCTTGACTCTTGGGCTTCTTAGGAAAGTTGCCCAATTGGCAGGGTTGCCCATTCAATAATGAGAGGCCCTTGGATGATCACTCTAATATAGTAGTACTTTCTGACATCATTTAAATTCTAAAAACATCCAATCTTTAAAACATCAAAATCTTGACAGAAATAATTTTTTACATAATTTAAATCTTTTAAACATAAAAAAAATTAAGAATCGCGTATAAAAACTGATGTCCAAACTACAGTGGCGGCTTGTGGCAGGTGGTTTTAACCAAGGTGGCTGGGAAAAACTTCAATATATATGAAAAAGAAAATTAGACCCCCCATCTCGACCACTCTCGTAACTATTTTCCTAATCCATCATAATGAGTAAACAAAAAAAAAATCAATGCGTGAATATCTATGTCTTACGTCAGTTTTTAGATGGCGTGACAATGAAAAAACATGTTTTACATACTCTAGATTACAATGTCCATGAGCGGATGCTTGAAAACTGTTATTTTTTTTTTAGATAATACCACGATTTTAACAACGACGAAAACTCTAATTTACGAAAAGTTTAGAGCGAATTTCTAGCAACAGTCACTTCGATCTCCTGTAACACTAAATGCCTTAAGAGAATCGACTTGTTGTCTCATAACGATACGCAGTAGAGCCCTCCTAACAATACAAGATGGTTATGCATACGAATGCACCAATTTTTTTTTGGACTTTTGGCCAGGGTTTTCCAAAAATTGGCCACTGTGCATTGGTACTGAAAAAAGGAACAATAACAGGCGTTCGAAAATCTCAAGCAGCTCATAGTATCCGAACGTGTTCTGGTACACTATAGCTCAAAGGTGCCGCTGGTGGTAGTTTGTGATGCGTCACCATATGGCATTGGCGCTGTTCTCAGCCACCGCATGCCTGAGGGGTCTGAGAGGTCCATTGCATTTTACTCTAGAACCTTATCAAAGGCAGAGCGGAATTACGCCCAAATCGACCGCCAAGCTGTAGCGTTAATCGCTGGAGTGAAGAAATTTCACGACTACCTTTATGGGCTTTATTTACTCTGGTTACCGATCATCGGCCCCTATTGGGTATCTTCAATACGACCAAGCCCGTTCCTAATGTGATATCATCGCGAATGCTTCGACGACGAATTTTCCTTTATGCGTTTGATTTTGAAATCGCGTACCGTTCGGGAAATAAGTTGGGGAACGATGACTTTTTGAGTCGATTGCCATTGATAGATGAGCAACGAACGATTAAGGAAGCTGTTCTGATGATAGAAATGGTCAACAAGCCCATAGTAGACGCCAAACATATCGCAGTTCAAACTGCCAAAAATGCGGACTTGGCAAAAGTTCTCAGCTGGGCGTTAAGGGGGTGGCCACCTAACATGAGCCGATCGGACAAGCTGTATCCCTTTTATGTTCGCCGACAAGAAAACCAATAATTTATATGAAAAACCATTTTCCAAAACAATTTAACATTTATTGCACAAGCAAGTTGCAATTATTTCCTGAAAGCTATTTGAGTAATTTCAGTTTCAGTTACACCTTGTAATTTTTATTGCAAATCTGCAAAAAGGACTTTCTGACTCTTTACACGGGAAACTAGACTTTTGA